TATCAACATACCTATAAACAAGTAAACTACAACAGTTTTCATTTTCTCCATAAGAATAACATGGAATTTTAAATTACACTTTTTAGCGAATTTCCCTATAGGGAAGTAGCTATTACCGTAGGTCTCATGGTAAGACTTAGGCCCGGGACCGATTTACTTTTTCATTTTAATGTCCCCAGAGGCCAAAAACGCCATTCGTTCAAATTTTTATATATGTATATATATATATATATATTTATATATATAGATATATATATATATATGTGTCCGTGAACACGATAACTTGAGTAATTTTTATCCGATTTTGATGAAATTTGGTTTAAAGGTGTAAGGCGGGATAAACTTGAATGAGTTCGCGATCCAGCATGATCGGACCATGGGAACAGGGTTTTATGGGGGGTTTTATGGGGTAAAAATTGGTTTTTCTCACTTTTTACCCTCAAAACACAAAATTTCCCAATTTTTCTCTAAACCTTCTTAAAGAGCTTAAAAAAACAAACAATTCAGTATATCAAAGTGTTTTTCTACGGTTATTGGTTACGGAGAAAACTAAAAAAATGGTAAATTTAAAATTCCCATGTTATTCTTATGGAGAATATTGTAAAATGTTGTAGTTTGCTTGTTTATGGATATATTTTGATCAAACTTGGCAAATTTATTTATTTTATAGTAAGCTATCAATATTTTACTAAAAACACACTACTTTATTAGTTTCCTTGTAGCAGCAAACCTAGGTACTCGTTAAACCTAATGTTATTTAAATAGATCAATTGAAAATCAATTCGGCCAAATGGAAATTCGCTTAGACGGCAGGTTTGCTGCGGCGGGGGTATTTTATTTTCTCCGTGACTGTTTGACATACAAACAGTGCTTCAATATACTAAATTATATGTTTTTTAAGCTCTACAAAATGGTTTGGAAAGAAATTGTAAAAATTCCCCATAAACCCCCGTTCCCATGGTCCGATTATGCTGGTTCGCGAACTCGTTAATAAACGTAGGTTAACACGTTGGTACCAAATTTCATCAAAATCGGATTATTTTTGCTTGAGTTATCGCAATAATGGACATGTAAAAAATGAATCTGAACAAATGGTGTTTTTGGCCTCTGGGGACCTCAAAACAAAAAAGTAATTCGGTCTCGGGTCTAGGTCTTACCATGAGACCTACGGTAATAGCTTATTATTCATATGGGAAATTGGCTAAAAATTAAACAAAAATAAACACAATTAAAAAACATATTGACACAACTAAAGAGTAATCAGGGGAGAAGCTATTTTCACAAAGGAAATATTTTGTTCTATTAATGAACTCTATCCAAGTCAGCCTCTTGCCATTGTGGACTCAGATTATATTAACCTTACATAATTTATTATCAACACATGAAAGTAGAACATTGACAAATAGGTCAGTGACAAAAGCACAAATGATGAAAGGAATCCTGTTTTGCGTGTTTATCAAACAGCATAAATGATTAAACAAAGGCTTGACCGTGGACTATATTTAAAATTACTTTTACATTGTCAAGAGGATTTTTAGTTTTATTCAAGCCTGCCTCGATATTTAACTAGATAACTTTTTTGGGTATTTCCCATATTGAGAATAAGCTATTAGTGAAGAAACCAACACCTGGGACCTATTTACTTTTTTAGTTTTGATGTCCCTAGTGGATAAAAAACCTTAATTAAAATTCATATATTTTTGTATTTTCTAAAAAAGAATGACAGGTGCCCTTAAGAGTATTTATCATTTTGAATAATTGGTACAACTTTAAAGTATGAAACTCATGCAAAGATTAGTCCTGTCAGAACAGTTTTTCTATGGTAGCTGTTTCCGTTAAGATGTAGGCTACAACCGATTGTACTTGATAAACCATGGAGCCCCAGATTTTATAAATCAACTGAGAGAGTGGCTGCTGGCAAGGCCCATGTACTCCCTGGACATTTTTTTGAATATGCCTCGTACCTGCCACCAACTGCAAAATGTAAAATGCTAATTATAAATAGTTTTTGACTCTTGTCCATCCAGGAAGAGCTGGTTATGGACGTTGAGGGAGGTTATTCAGGTATGACGATTTTAGGTGCAAAATGGGGCACACAACAGCTTGCGGTCTGTACAAAATAAAAAAATCGTGATTTTCCACTAGGTCGCATTGACTATAGTCAACGGTGTTTATGACGGAGTTTTTTAAACATGTTGTTGGATGGGTAATTTTAAATGCTATACAAGTAGGCCTACAATTTTTATAAAATCAACTATTTCTTAGTAATTAATTTTAAAACAAATGCACATAGAGTGATCCAACATCCTACAAGACCTTTCAATTCAGGCAAAAATTATTGTTAAATAAATAAGTAGGCCTAATTTAAGTTTAAAAAATAGAAATGGCCGCCATTTAAAACAAAAAAATATACATTCTAAATAAAAACTTCACCAATATTTCTGAACTTTTAATTTCATGAGGCCTTTCGCCAGCCATGCTGGCGACTATATAGTAGGGCTAACCGGCTAACCATGCATTGTATACATGAAACTAAGTGCAACGTTGACAAACATAAAACAATAACCATGAAGTGAGAATTTACAAAACAAAGAACGTTTATATTGACAATTAAATTGAGTCAATCGATTGTTATTGTTTGATAGCTGGATAATAGCAATGGGTAGTTCAACCGTTCATATAACAATTGTGAGAGGTAGAATTTTAACTAAATTCATGAACGAATTCATGTTCGAATTCCATCAACACGGGTAGCCTACAGTGATAGTGATAGGCCAGTGCAGTTTTTCAGTCTCGCACTCGACTAATGTTCAACAAAAGGACTGAGAAATGAAGCAGCGACGTTGACACGGATAAATTACACTTGTTGCTCGCTGACAATTCTTGGTCTAAATTGGGCGGGAATGGAATTGCTCCAACAGCGAAGCAAACGCCTTTTCATGCAAGCATATTGTGGAAGATTGAATCCTTGCTTTGGCTCGAGTTTTACTTTTTAAAAGAATAAACTGAACATTGTAAATTGGGAAATGTATTTTGATTATCGTTGATGAAGTAGTTTAAAGAAAATTTGAAATATAGATCATACAAGTCTACATTCAGATATGGTATATAAGTTAGTGTGTCCATGTGAAGTGGTTTCCGCAAAAAAAAATAAAAAAAAGAGTCCAACCACTATAAATTTAACTACAGTAGTCAATTTGGTAAAAAGGCTCACTAAAAGGCAAATATTATTGATACATCTCGTTATATTATAAATTGAATGCAATAAACAGATCATGAAACCGTAAAAAGGCTAAACTTTCTATTAAACATCAAAATCGAGGGTTGGAGAAAGTTTCGTTTTTTCAGAAAGAAGATCGTACAAGGGAATTTCCCTTAGATAAATCATGATGCTTTGCCATTCATTGAATTTTCATTCTCACTGATGCAAAAACAATGACATAAAATGTATTGCGTATTTCACGGTTTTATTTTATTGTAGCCTTACTGATACTTTTAGTTTTACATTTTACTTGTAGCAAGCAGGCTTTAATTTATCAATGTTTCACTCTTCGCAAGAATTCACCCTGAAGAGTTCATTATGATTTTTTGTGACTCTATAGTCAGTAAAAAATGTAATTGTTTATTAATTAATTTTCAGTATGTGATAATCATACCAATATTATAATTATACTAGTTTTGTGATGTGTCTGATGATGCCAGCATAGCTGGCGAAAGGCCTCATAAAAATTAAAAATTCAGAAATATTGGCGAAGTTGTTATTTCAAATTAATAGGCTACCAATATTAGTTGGGACATATAATTAACAGCGTTGGGTATTACAGTAATACGTTTTGCGGTATAAATGCCTGCAATAATAAACGCGACCAGTCAATACTGACACACTTGTCTGTAATGAGATTGCAAGAGGTGTTGCCACACCACTAGAAAATCCCTTTTATCCCACATCGGACATTTAAAATCCCATATGCACCATCTTGAAATCAAGTGTTGTATGGTATCTTACCACCGTATCTTGTCCATAGATCAAACACTCACTCATAAATGGCAAACGTTTAATTAATTCTTTTAAGACCGGAACGCACATTTAGTTGAGTGTTTTAAGCTGAGTGTATTTAACGGTAAGTTTGTCCGTTCGTAGTGAGCTATGACAGCTGTGTAGCTTTGTTACTGACTACAATCAGCTGTTTTCCAGCCAGGGAGCCGATCATTTATTTAAATCCCAATTTTCAAGGACAGCGATAGGGCTAATTTAAGGGTAGACCACCTTCCGCCATCTTAAGCTCTCAGCACCAACGAATCTTGGGGCCGCACGGAGTAGGTGCAAAAATATTATACCGATAATAGAATAAGGGGTTTTTCTATAAAATCTCTTTTCCGTCCGTCCTACTGAGCCGATCCTTCCGCTTGAGGTGCCATAAACGTACAATGGTTTATCGGAGAGACGAGTAGTAACTCCCCCTAGCGTTTCAATTATTTCTAGAGTTTTTACTTTCAAAAGGACATTGATGCTGACCAACTTTCTTTATAACAGTTTAAATTTAAATTTTAGTTATATCTTTAGCTGTTAAACATTTCACATGAATGTTTAATCATAGTCTGATTAGTGATTGTAAACCACCAAGGGACGAAACAGGTTATGAAAATTGATTTTAAATAGGCTACTAGCTTTATGAATGTAGCCTGATTGAGGTAGGCACTATATGTGCAGATTAAACAAACTTCTGTGAAAGGTAAATGGTATTGCATTGGATTCATTTTTGTCTCGGAAACAAATGTCGAACCTTATTAAAATGCGCATTTTTTTAAAACTCGGTATCGAATTGTCAAAGTATTTTAAGCCATTTACACACATCATCTACACACATTTACTGTTATATCTTGAATATTTGAATCTTAAAATCCCCCCTTTATCCCACAGACAACCAAATATCCCATTCGCGGGAGAAATCCCTGCACACAGCAGGGGGAGGCGGGTGGACTTGCGCCGTACGATCCTGCTCCTTCCAGACTCCTTGATCCTGCCATCATTCCTTCCTCGGACCTCTGGACAGACATCCTACGGGACTCTACAGGACACCATGGGACACGAGGACTCCCACATCCTGGTGCAGGACACCTACATAGCATCCTTCCTGCCTGCCCTCAGGTGAGTGGAATCGTGGAGTTATCCTGTCTAACGTATGGAGTGCCTAGAGTGCGTATGCGGCGCCCTGCCGTCCTCTCAGTGTGTAGTGGAGGGTTGTTTAGGTAGGGGTGTTTTATTTTTCAATATGGTTTTAATAGTTTGTGCAAATTTCCCTTAAGAACCTATAGTCGTTGGGGGCGTGATCGGACTAAAAACCGGCATTTTGCATTTTTTATATATTTTTTAAATTTTAACCCTGAAGCAATTGTTCTATTTTCATCACAATTATCGTGTAAAGATTGAATTTTAATGATTTAACCAACCACCCCCTTTCCCCCGAGGGGGGATTTTTGTTGGAAACAGATATTTGGGGACGGAATCTTGCGTTATAGGTGTAAAATAATTAAGTAAACGTTTTTTTTTCATCTCAAGAGTACGTTTGCATCTAGAATCTGTAGAATGAATGTGGCCCTAGACTAAATATTGCAATAGAAATATTTAAATGGAAAAATGATTTAAAATATTTAAAAGGTTTGTTTTTCACTTAAATGCCTTTTTTATCAACTTGACTATTTCCATGCTAGAGTTTGGAAAATATAATCTGCTCTTCAAAACAAAGGATAAATTATTCAACAATTCAACCATCGAATAAAATATGTTATAGAACCTGTGTTATACCCGTTCAACTTTCGGAAATCGCGTAAGAGACAAATACTACTGCTAACTGGAGTTACGAAACTGCAGGAAATATTTGTATAGGCGTTTATATTAGGACAAAATGAGGTTATAATCAATGAAGTTCAAGACAAACCTTCATAGACGCGAAAATACACACAACAATTGCATTTGTCAAGGTTTCTAACAGTTTTCTTTAGGGGGTGTCATTGCAACTACTCTGTTTATAATTTCGTTTTCTTACCAGACATTTCGAGTTATTGGTGTCAATATCTACGTTATGTTATTTCTACGAGCGTTTTTATGTATTTTTGTATTAGTAGACATTGTAAACATTGTTTGTGAATTTTATCATTTGCTTATAGTATTTTCCACAATTCTATTCACCACTCTTGCCCTTTTGAATGCAGATGATTCATCATTCATACAGTCGACATGTGATAACCCCACGGCCCAAGTATAGTGGCGGGTCATCTGCTAACTGTCCATAACTCCCGTAATAGCTCTAGCCGTGGTCTCGATTCTCTATTGTCGAGGACGAGGACAGTAGCATGCGAAATGAGCTGGACATGCAACACGGCAGTCATACATAAGTGAAACTAGGACTGGACATTTGAGATAGGAACAATCGTGTGAAATATTGTTGTGTGGCTTTTCGTGGAGATCCTAAAAAGTTTCAAATTAAGTTTCTAACTTTCCCCGTATGGAAAGTAGTTGTTTTCGATGTCAGTTGATGTATATACGAAAATTACCATTGTCAAGATCGTAATAGTGGCAGTCTTTTTTACCCAGGTTCATCCAACTGCAAATATAATATTCTAACTTATTATGTTATGTTGTTGTGTGTTTTTTTTTTCAAGAGACTTTGTTTTAGCTACCATATCAAACACATCTTGAGTAAAATTTGTTTTGGAAATCGGCTTTAAGCTCTTTTGATAGTTTTCAATAAAAATAATTAGCACATAGAGGCATATTAATGTTTTTATGTTTTCTCGAACTAAATTTTGAATTTATTCAGCATTGCCTCCAGGATTGATTTAAGACAGTATAAAATAGGTTTACATCGTCAATCCTAGAATAGTCTTTCAATCGACTAGTTTCGAAACTGATGTTTCATTTTCAAGCCTTGTCGACTTCAAATAATTTTATGTCAGACGACAAGACTTGAAAATAAAAAGTCAGTTTCGAAACTAGTCGCTTGAAAGACTATTCTAGGATTGACGACGTAAGGTACCTAAACCTATTTTATATGTACTATATTTTGAAATTCTTCTGAAAGTCATTAGTGATCATTTGTCTATTGGAAATCATCCATCTAACAAGATACGTCGAATGTACTATTATTTGTTGTAAGTAAATAGATAATAAATAAAACCATACAAATCAGCGAAAGTCCCGATGACACAGATAGACTATTACCCCGGAAATGTCGGCGATGTTCGTGACGTATGCATAGTAAACTAGGAAGTGTGATGGAAACATGATTACATTAATAGCACATGTGAAGCTAACAATCTATCAATATCGTGATATACGACACACGCAAGGGGCTGGTCACTGACACTGGACAATGTACAACGTGGACTGACCATACCCAGGGTCGGGGACTGGGGATTTGGTATCTAACCTAACTTTACCTAAACTAACCTAACAATCAATATCGTGATATACGACACACGCAAGGGGCTGGTCACTGACACTGGACAATATACAACGTGGACTGACCATACCTAGGGTCGGGGACTGGGGATTTGGTATCTAACCTAACTTTACCTAAACTAACCTAACAATCAATATCGTGATATACGACACACGCAAGGGGCTGGTCACTGACACTGGACAATGTACAACGTGGACTGACCATACCCAGGGTCGGGGACTGGGGATTTGGTATCTAACCTAACTTTACCTAAACTAACCTAACAATCAATATCGTGATATACGACACACGCAAGGGGCTGGTCACTGACACTGGACAATGTACAACGTGGACTGACCATACCCAGGGTCGGGGACTGGGGATTTGGTATCTAACCTAACTTTACCTAAACTAACCTAACAATCAATATCGTGATATACGACACACGCGATCAGCTGGTCACTGACACTGGACAATATACAACGTGGACTGAGCATACCCAGGGTCGGGGACTGGGGATTAGGTATCTAACCTAACCTAACCTAACAATCTATCAATATAGTGATATACGACACACGCGATCAGCTGGTCACTGACACTGGACAATATACGATGGGGACTGACCATACCTAGGATATGGGCCTCGGGATTAAGTATCTAACCTAACTTTACCTAACCTAACCTAACAATCTATCAATATCGTGATATACGACACACGCGATCAGCTGGTCACTGACACTGGACACTAGACAACGTGGACTGAGCATACCCAGGGTCGGGGACTGGGGATTAGGTATCTAACCTAACTTTACCTAAACTAACCTAACAATCTATCAATATAGTGATATACGACACACGCGATCAGCTGGTCACTGACACTGGACAATATACAACGTGGACTGACCATACCCAGGGTCGGGGACTGGGGATTAGGTATCTAACCTAACCTAACCTAACAATCTATCAATATCGTGATATACGACACACGCGATCAGCTGGTCACTGACACTGGACAATATACAACGTGGACTGACCATACCCAGGGTCGGGGACTCGGGATTAGATATCTAACCTAACCTAACCTAACAATCTATCAATATCGTGATATACGACACACGCGATCAGCTGGTCACTGACACTGGACAATATACAACGTGGACTGACCATACCCAGGGTCGGGGACTGGGGATTAGATATCTAACCTAACCTAACCTAACAATCTATCAATATCGTGATATACGACACACGCGATCAGCTGGTCACTGACACTGGACAATATACAACGTGGACTGAGCATACCCAGGGTCGGGGGCTGGGGATTAGGTATCTAACCTAACCTAACCTAACAATCTATCAATATAGTGATATACGACACACGCGATCAGCTGGTCACTGACACTGGACAATATACAACGTGGACTGAGCATACCCAGGGTCGGGGACTCGGGATTAGATATCTAACCTAACCTAACCTAACAATCTATCAATATCGTGATATACGACACACGCGATCAGCTGGTCACTGACACTGGACAATATACAACGTGGACTGACCATACCCAGGGTCGGGGACTCGGGATTAGATATCTAACCTAACCTAACCTAACAATCTATCAATATCGTGATATACGACACACGCGATCAGCTGGTCACTGACACTGGACAATGTACAACGTGGACTGACCATACCCAGGGTCGGGGACTGGGGATTAGATATCTAACCTAACCTAACCTAACAATCTATCAATATAGTGATATACGACACACGCGATCAGCTGGTCACTGACACTGGACAATATACAACGTGGACTGAGCATACCCAGGGTCGGGGACTGGGGATTAGATATCTAACCTAACCTAACCTAACAATCTATCAATGTCGTGATATACGACACACGCGATCAGCTGGTCACTGACACTGGACAATATACAACGTGGACTGACCATACCCAGGGTCGGGGACTCGGGATTAGATATCTAACCTAACCTAACCTAACAATCTATCAATATCGTGATATACGACACACGCGATCAGCTGGTCACTGACACTGGACAATATACAACGTGGACTGAGCATACCCAGGGTCAGGGACTGGGGATTAGATATCTAACCTAACCTAACCTAACAATCTATCAATATAGTGATATACGACACACGCGATCAGCTGGTCACTGACACTGGACAATATACAACGTGGACTGAGCATACCCAGGGTCGGGGACTGGGGATTAGATATCTAACCTAACCTAACCTAACAATCTATCAATATCGTGATATACGACACACGCGATCAGCTGGTCACTGACACTGGACAATATACAACGTGGACTGAGCATACCCAGGGTCGGGGACTGGGGATTAGATATCTAACCTAACCTAACCTAACAATCTATCAATATCGTGATATACGACACACGCGATCAGCTGGTCACTGACACTGGACAATATACAACGTGGACTGAGCATACCCAGGGTCGGGGACTGGGGATTAGGTATCTAACCTAACTTTACCTAACCTAACCTAACAATCTATCAATATCGTGATATACGACACACGCGATCAGCTGGTCACTGACACTGGACAATATACGATGGGGACTGACCATACCCAGGGTCGGGGACTGGGGATTAGGTATCTAACCTAACTTTACCTAACCTAACCTAACAATCTATCAATATCGTGATATACGACACACGCGATCAGCT